ATTGGATATGAAGAAATTGGAATTATCAGAACTGAACTCGAAACCAAATCGAGAGTTGCTATGATAAGATCAGGGAACAAGAAGGCAGACGAGTCGAAAGAGGAATAAAATACGTCAGATGTAAAGATTATACATAAAACGAAAATATAAATTGAATCAATTAAACAAGACAACTAAAAGCAAAAAAGCGTACCGATATTTGAAGATGAGACCATTGAAAACCATTGAACCCTGGAAATGAATGCTTACATGCTTCACAAAAAAAACCGAAACTCATAAAGGAGAATAAAAAAGTAAAATAAAAGAGAAGACAAATAACTTGCAAAACAGCTGATAACCTTTGTTTTCTCGACACTTCGTAAGGAATAATTAACTCTTAAGAAAATGAAGATGGACATTGAGATAGATTAATAGTTATTGGTATTATTACGTCGATTTTGGTGATACAAAGACGCAACTAGGTACAAGGCATGAAGATTAGTTTGGTAGTGAACAACGTGGCAAGACCTTGATCAACACAACATAATCGAAAATTGAAGAGAAGGAGAATGAATTGAAAGAAGGGTGGAGAAGAGCGCGAAGCCATAGGAAAAATCAGTCTGCGTAGTGACAAGTGAAGAAGAGAAAAAATGAAAATTAAAGTGCAAATCGAATAATACCTTCAATATATATCTAATAAAATAAAATGGTCGAACCTATGAGACCCACTTGAGAACTATGGGACACACCAGCTACTAGTTGGCAATAATAAGGTGATGCAAAGATATAACGGGAATGGATGAATAAATGACCGGATGTATGTGCGAATATTGAATATGAAAACGCTACCACTTTATTATTACCAACTCTCAGGTCAGGAATTTTATATTGTATTGATGGCGAACCACAGCGGCTGCCTTGCTTAAGCCATTAAGTATGCGCTGTGTAGAAACTCCTAATACACTTATGAGGGGGAGCAAATGTTAGAATCGAAAGGTGAAAATTACTTTTCGACAGGTCATATAAGGAATTCCTCTAATCTTAAATACTTGTTCTGAAAGAAAACATTTAAAAAACCGGTTCGAGAACGCCAGAAAAAGATGCGGCAGCAGGCTGTCATATTAGGACGGAATATCCATTCATCTGGTGTGTACTCAGTTGCATTTTATTAAGAGAAAAAAAAATAAATGTATAGAATGGAATTGTTGGATACAAAAAGACAGAACTGTGAGAAGTCTAGACATTCCGACCGATGTCTATAAAAGTATTTTTTAAAATAAAAGTAAACGCGAAGCAGACGAATGATAAATAAAGCTCACAAATAAGAAATATTGATAAGCTGATCCTTTCAAGACGACTACCATGAAGTGTAAACGCTGTCGTATATTCGAAATGAAACAATAATGAAGAAAACGTAGTTCTTGATTAAGAGAAGAGAATAAAAATTATGAGAGAAACCGGATATTATTAGGTAACGCACAATAAGCGCGGGCTTAATTAGAATAAATGAACATTGATCGTGTCGAGACTAAAAGTTTCAAACTTAGAATGCAACAAGCTAACCATAATTCAGAATGGAGAGATTAATTATATGAAATGATAATGATTGTTATCAATGAATTAATGAAAATTCGAACAGAGCACTTGAAATTCTTAAAATGCGCATGCGAGGTATTTAAGCTAAACGGCAAACAAATATCGGAATTAAATAAAATGAAAACAACAAACAAGGGTCGGAAAGAAATAGTTTTAAGAGAAAGCCTTGAGGCGAAGATGTATTATTCTAATGTGATTTAGTTAACTGCAAACTAAACTGCTAATAGCTACAAATTCGCTTCAATAGCATCAGAAATTTGTATGAGAAAGGAAAGCTTGAAGAACAGGCGCTAATTTTGAGGTGAAGCCTTAGAAAAGCCGAAACGAAGACATTCTGTGGAGAACGAGAGCAGGCAAGAAAGATTAGCGAGATAGTGAGTGTCTATGCAAAATAGATGAAGAGAATAAGAAGGGAAAAGAAAATGAAAGAGGGAAGGGAGAGAGAGAGAGGAGAAGAGCATACGTATTCGGAGCATTCATTTATTCTCTTCTGGAGTCTTTTCATTGCTTTGTGTGTGAGCAGGCAAAGAGCAAAACGGCGGAAGGATACCTAAGTGGGTAGAGTCCGGAGAAGAAGTCTAAGATGAAACGTACAGATAAGAGAAATCATGAAAAAAAGACTTTTACCCTTAAAAAAAACCTCAACAGCAAACAATAGTTATTGAAGAAAATTACCAACATGGGGGATATGAGAAAGAAGTTCTCCACGAGACAGAAAAACGAAAGCTTAGCCATAGTTGGCTGGAAAGAACAAAAAAAAAAGATAAAAGCAACCTAACTTTCATTTGAATTGAGTGAAAGGATGATGAAACACAAGGATGTCAACTTGGCGTACCCAACGAGATTTCCTCCTTCTTCGTTCCTGTTGCAGTAAAAATTTGCCGAAAAAGGTCTTGCAAAGACAAATAAATTAAATAAATAAGAAAAACCAAAATGAATTTCCTCATTCTAGTTATGAATAACGTCTTAATCCAATTCCATTTATATTATTTTTGATTAAAAAAACAAAATAAATTAAAGTTTTCTTTCTTCGTCGCTCATAATTGGTCAAGGACAGGCGGTTTTTGGATGGTTTCCGAATTATTATTTCATTAATAGCATTGTTGAAGAAGGAAATAACAGAATGTTCATGTGGACAGCTTAAAAATCGAATATATGAAGTCAAATCGGAAAAGCTTTAAAGGATTTGCTTAACATATATAGTTATTAACATGAAAACCTCATTTGCATATCTCGCATACTCTACTCTTTTTGCTTTTTTTGCTAATGTTTGTAAAAAGAAATATTTAAATAAATCCTTTTTTATGGAAAATATTCGTATATTTCTAATCCTCAAGTGCTTCAGCTCGGAGAACCTAACTTGAGAAGGTTCTTTACTTATTCAACTCTTAGAATTTCTAAAACACAACCAATCATAATGTCTGTTCTCAATTAAATGAAAACTTTCAGAGTCAATAGTTCCCAATCAATAGACATGATAAGCATTACAACATAACATAAACAACTCTTGGTCTCGTTCTTCTTTTTTTTTTTGTTTTTTTTTATTTTCGACATAAAGAATTCAGCATTTGGAATCTGACTGGAAGTTTCCTTTCCTCTCAATTCGAAACAGAAACAGAGTTTAGAACTTCCTGATATGGCTATTGGATTTATGGAATTGTATTTGAATATTTCACAAACTTCTTTTAGTAGGAGACACGACAAAAGAACAATGTTTTGGTTGACGGCAACATACGAACGCAATGCAATGAAACATCCATAACACACATACACACCGCAGCAAATGTACAAATTTGGAAAAGTTGATGTTCAACAGGTTATCTCATTCGTTTAGTAAAAGAAACTTTGGAGAAGGATGCTCGTTATCTCGTATAAAAATCGGATTTATTCATGACATGTTTGGATGGATAAAAAACATGAAAATTCGAATATAAAAAAGGAAAATTATGAAAAAGATTTATAAATATTACGGCTCCCCGGGGGGGGGGGGGGGGGGGGGGAAAAAAAAGGGGGGGGGGGG